ATCATTTTATGTAAAAAATAAATCATTTAGAACTACCCCATCTCTGGTTGGCAAAGAGAAGGAATAAATCTCTCAATCTCTCTCTCTCTCTCTCTCTCTCTCTCTCTCTCTCTCTCTCTCTCTGTATATGTGTGTGTGTGTTCTCTGACAGAGAAATATCTATCCTGGGATCCCAACCTTGTTTTGGAAATGGGACATAAAATGATAAATTTTATTTAGAAGACAAAAATACATACAGATACAAAGCAAAAGCTTAGCTGATGAAGATGAAAGTTAATTGGGAACAAAAAGATTTCTCAATTTGGTCACTGGGCTCCCTGTCTTGTGTTGCAGTTTATTAACATCACATCTCTCCAGGAACAAGGACCTCTATTCTGTAAGGTTTGCAGGCAGGAAACTGATCAAGTTTTAGCATTGATGTAGAATTCCCATGGAAGCCTTTAATCAAGAGAGGGTAGTCAATATAAGGATTCCCATGAATGAAGACTGCTGATGGAACCACTCCAAAATATAGAATTCATCCAGAGCCTTACAAAGAGTGACTTCAGTACAGTACTGGACTTTAATAGATGTAAATGTAGGATCCTGAATGAGGAATGTCAGAAGGACATAACTAGAACTGTGGGGTCCCACAGTGTCATGTTCCTCATGTCTATTCTTGCAGGCCCCCAAATGACTGTGGTCATATGAGGATTCCTCTGAATTCCAACTAGGACTTAACAGGGAGACAGTATGTGGATGTGAGAATAGCAGGTTCAAACAGTGAGTAGAGTTACAAGATTGGTCACTCATCCAGGTGAGCATTCAAATGTGAACTAAGGATGGCGGCACCACCTTGGGGAGGGGGGTCTTGGGCAAAACCAAAATCAAAATGAGGACCCTGAGGGCTGATGAGAGGACCTGTCCCCCAAATAGCAAGGCTCACAGAGCCCCACCCCTGCCATCAGTCCTATGAGACTCAGGCAGGAGGAACCATATGATACCTGCTCAGATTTCCTCTGTGGGAACTGGGGAAGGTGTAAGTTTTGTTTGGAGACCATGCGACACAAGGAGTAGAGGGAGGAATCTGAGGATAGCCTAGATACCAATGCAAGAACCTAGGGATCCTTGACTCCCAAACAGGGTGGTCCCTTAGTGACCGATCCCTGCTGTCAATCCTCCAAGATCCCAGGCAGCCGTTGGCCGGATGTGATTCATCCTCACTTCCGCTGTGAAGGGAAGGACCTCCTTCTGAAAGGTGTGGCATCCACTTTACTGAGCGTGAATTCTCCGGACTGAGGTGAGGACCCTGAATTTGACTGAAGAGCCCCCTCTCCCCGCCCTGAGTGCAATTCATAATAAAGTAGGCCCCACAAAGTCACGGCCTTGGGTCAGCCATCTTAGATCTTGGGTCAGAGCTGTTAAGACTGAGGGTCGCGTCCTTTCTACCACATTCTTTTTACCCAAAGTGGAGTGGAGGGATTCCATTTAAAGAGGAAAAGTCCCATTAGCCTAGGGAGAGGGCTTGGCTCTAAAACAAGTAAAAGCAAGACCCTACGTGCCAGTGAGTGGACCTTTCACCAAAATAGGTGGTCACACAGAACATCATCCCTACTGTCAGTTGTAGGAGCCCCCAGGCAAGGTCGTCAGATGTGGAGCACCCTGACTTCTCTAGTGACTCTGGGATTTGTGTGCTTTGGTTTGAGGCTGTAGACTGAGCTCAGTAGAGGGAGCAATCCTGATCCTACCAGAAGTCAAAGTCCTGTGTGGAACTGAGGGAGCCAGACTCCACAACAGTGGGGTCTAAGAGTTCCATCATTGCTCTCAGCACACGCAGGCCTTGGAAGAATGTGGTTCATTCTTACTGTAAACTCAGGTTCAAGAAATAGGAGGATCTTTGTCTGATGGCAGTGGCCTCTGGACAGCAGAGGGTAGTTCCAGAAAGGGGTTGGAATAAAGGTGAACAACCTGGGTGAAAAAAATAGACACTACTGTAATCCAAGTGACTCAGAAGGCTGAGGCAGGAGGATGGCAGGTTCAAAGCCGGCCTCCACAACATAGCAAGACCCTGTCTCAAAATTTAAAACATAAGTGGCGGGGCTGTGGCTCAGGAGTAGCACACTTGCCTGGCATGTGTGAGGCACTGGGTTTGATTCTCAGAACTGCATATAAGTAAATAAATAATAAAGGTCTATAAACAACTAAAAAAATTTTTAAATAAAAATAAAGAAGACTGGGGATGTGAATCCAGGGTAAAGCACCGTTGGATTCAATCCTAGTAAGGGGGGAGGGTGGATGGGGGTGCTGCACCTTTTGTAACCTCTGGGAGTCCCAGGCCAGAGCTATCAGACTCAGGTGCCTTGTCACTCTACCCTGAAGGGTCTTGAGGATATGTGGGCCTTGGTTTAGGTTTGGCTGACCCAGTTCAGCAGAAAGAGAGGAATCCTTGGCCATGAAAGGTGTCAAAGTACAAATTCTATATGAAGAATTAGACTCCAGAACAGAGAAAAACATATAAAGTCTTGCCTCTGCCTTCAGCCCTGAGAAACCAGGATTATAGCACTACGGATGAGGTTTCCTATCATTTTACTCAGGGGTACTCTCAGGGACACAAATCCTTTGGTTTAATTGAAGAGCTCCTATTCAGCATAGTGGGGAGACCTGGCCTGGTTCCTAATAGGAATTGAGGTGGTAATAGTATGAAGGAGACTCCTCCCAGAAATTGATCCACATAGACTCCCATGACTACTATGAGACCTGGAAGATCTGGGCATGGTGACATGTTAAGTCTGATTCACTTCTTCCTAGAGCATCTAAGGGAAGTAAGGAACATTGTAAAAGGAAGCCTCGGGTTAGCAAGTGGAAGATTCCAAGTTAGTACCAGGAATCAAGGAGAAGACCCTGAGAACTGAGAAAACCACCCATCCCATAAGAGTGAGGGCAACATAGTAACCCTTCCTGTTTGTCAGCCTTGGGGGCCAACAGGTAGTCATGGCCAGATGAGAAACTTTCACTTCTTCCTAGGGGTCTCAGAGTGTTGGGGGCATTGGCATAAGTAGATGGGCATTAAGTCAAGATAGGGAGAACATTGAGGAATCACTAAATCAGAAAATGAGCGTCCACAAATTCCCACCTCAGCCCTGGGAAACCCTAGGCAGAGGTAGCCAGATGTGTGCCGCAGTCTGGCTGCAGCAAAATAACCCGGGGGGCAAGTGACAAGGAACTTGTGAAGGTTGATACAGCAGAAGCGGGAGCCGCTTTATTGTGGGACAGAGAAGTATATATACATAACTAAATACACAGCTTAACTTAATTAACATAAACTAGATACAGCAGTCAACCAATAAGGAATCCTCATCATCTTAATGATTACACACAGCTTAACTTAATTGACATAATCTAGACACAGCAGTCAGTCATTAAGGAATCTCTATCATCTTAATGGCTCGCTGGCGTTACTTCTCAAACCACTCCTCTTGGCAAAGTGCCAGGCGCCATCTTGACTTGTTTACGGACCCTAACAGATGTGTCATACCCTCATATTCAGACCTGGAGATACAGCAAGATGACAGCCTTGGTATAATGTTGGAAGACTTAGGGAGGCTAATGGTGGAGTTATACTGTACCTGAGTGAGGATTAAAGAGACCTATGATCCCCAAACAGTGGGATACCCTAGGGAACAAAGTTGGCTGGATGTGGCTCACACTCTCATCTTCAGGTGTGAGGAAGATGAGAATCTTATTCTGAGCAGAGGGACTCGGGTTAGCAGGAAGATTTTCAGGTTGTGCCAAGACTCATACAAAGGACCATGAGGACTTCAGGAAACTCCATATCAACAGGGGTCCCACAGATTCCCTCTCTTTGTCAGGCCTGAGAGGCCCTAGGCATGGATGTCAGGCAGAAGTGCCCATTGGTTTCTCTTCAGGAGTAACAGAGAAGTGAGGGTCTTAGTTGGACAAATCAGCAAGGGAAGGAATTTTAGGATTCCCAGTCAATTGGAGACCTTGAGTGAGGACCATGAATAAAACCACATATCGTAGGATGTCAACCTTCCAGCTGCAGTTTTTAGCTTGTGGAGAATATGAGCAGTGGGACCAGTTGCAGCCACTCCTACATCCTCAATTAAGTGTGATGGACGGATAGGTGTGAACCTTACTCTAATGATGTCCTCGGGTCCAGAAAGGGGAGCCCCAGCCCTTCCCAGGATTCAAAGTATGATCCATGGATGAGGACTGAAGGTACCCACTCCCTCAACCCCAAACACAAAGAACAATAGAGTCTGGCTCTGTCCTGGTACTCATCCCTTGAATGCCTAGAACAGGATTGTCAGCTGAGAGTCCTCCTCATTTCTTTGTACCAGGTCTAAAGGAAGCAGGAGCCTGAGTCTGAAAGTGCAGCTCTAGTCAGTAGAAAGGAAGGTTTCAGACTCTAGGTGTGGACAAAATGAGGACCCTGAGTGAATATTGAGGGCAAGTGAGCACAGGAGAGAAAGAGGGTGGGGAGGGGGAAGAGGGAGAGAGAGATACCCCTATACAGAATTGTCAGCACTGCCTGTTTGAAGGAGTAGTGGGAGAAACCCCCCACACACATTTTCTATTCTTGAATACAAGGGAGCTTCTCAGCTTCAGAGCAGCACAGGAAAGAAGTGCCATACCCTGACCAAGAGCAGATATACTGATCCTGTGTGTATAGACTTAGAGGACCTTTGAACACATGAAAGAACACATTGCTAACCCTTGCTGTCACTAAGTCAGCCCCAGGGAAGCCTGGCAGGCTTCAGACTAAAACACACTATAATTTCCTCCCCTTGTTTTCCAGGGGTCAGGTGGTCCAAGAAGAGGAACCCGGTGGGTTTCCAGAGCAGTGTTCTCATGGAAACCTGCAGAGAGTGCTTTGAAAAAAAACAGAATGATGTGTCCTGCTAAAAGTGCTCACTGGATCTCATTCTCCCTCCTCCAGGTCCCAAGAACACCTGCTGTCCAGCCCATATTCCTGCCTGCTGTCCCTGACCACAGCCATCATGCCCCGGGGACAAAAGAGTAAGCTTCGTGCTCGTGAGAAGCGCCGCCAAGCCAAAGATGAGACCCAGGGTCTCAAGAATGCTCAGGCCGCTGAGGAAAAAGGGGCCCCCTCATGCTCCTCTTCTGTTTCTGAAGATGCTGTCCCCAGCACCTCTGCTGCTGCCTTTTCCCAGAAGCCTACCACCACTGCTGCTGCAGGTGTTTCACAGAAGAAGTCTGGTAAAGGTGCCAAGAGCCGAGGGGAGGGAAGTGCCAGTACCTCTAAGATCCCACCCTCCACTGAGAGTGCCCAGAGAGATCTTCTCACCAAGAAGGCAGGGATGCTGATGCAGTACCTGCTGTACAAGTATAAAATGAAAGAGCCCATTATGAAGGGAGAGATGCTGAAGATTGTCAACAAAAGGTTCAACAAAAGTTTTCCAGAGATCCTCAAGAAAGCCTCTGAGCATGTCGATCTGGTCTTTGGCCTTGAGCTGAAGGAAGTCAAGCCTGGTGGTAACTCCTATACCCTTGTCAGCAAGCTAGATGTCACCAACAATGGAAGTCTGACTAGCTTGGGCTTTCCCAAGAATGGGCTTCTGATGCCTCTCCTGGGTGCGATCTTCTTAAATGGCAACTCTGCCTCTGAGGAGGAGATCTGGGAATTCCTGAATATTTTGGGGATCTATGAAGGGAAGAGGCACATAATCTTTGGGGAGTCCCGAAAGCTTATCACCCAAGATCTGGTGCAGGAGCAGTACCTGGAATACCGGCAGGTGCCTGGTAGTGATCCTCCACACTATCAATTCCTATGGGGCCCCCGATCTTTTGCTGAAACTAGCAAGATGAAAGTCCTAGAGTTTTTGGCCAAGGTCAATGATACTGTCCCCAGTGCCTTCCCATCCCATTATGAAGAGGCTTTGAGAGATGAGGAAGAGAGATCCCAACCCAGAGCTGCAACCAGGCGTGGTGCTGCTGCCAACATCCATACATGTTCTAGGGTCACACCTGGCAGTTCCTCCTGCCCTTAGTGAGATCAGAGGCAGATTCTACATTTTGTGCAGAGAGCTTTCCACCATATAATACCAGGAGGCTGGCATGGCCCTAGAGAGATCATAATGTCTCTATTCATTATACATTAATATCTTTCAAGTATTTTTCTTTTAATAGAATATTTATTTAAATTCAGATTCATTGGTTATAAATGATATAGATCACATATTTATTGCTGTTGTAAGTTTTAAGTGCAAGAATTTTGGTATTTTCAAATACATTTTTAAAACCCTTAAATCTTTTTTGGGGTTAGCGAACAAAATAAAACACCCTCAGGATGGCAATTTTCCTGGAAATGTGTGAAAAACTCATGAAATGTAATTGGGGTCTTAAAACAGATGAAAACAAAGCAAAACCTAGTCAACTGTTGGTCTACCTTATTCACTTTTCTCTCTATTTTCTTATTGTAAAATTCAAAGATATATATCTGTTTGCCTTCAACAATTCAACTATGCAGATAAAATTAAATAGTAATAAATTGTGTTCCTTGCTCAGTGACTCATTTATTCTCATCCTGAATTGAGCATCTGTTCTTTGGAAGGCTGTGTTGTGTGTTAGTAGAGATTATGCTAAGATGAATGAAATCCTTTCCTTCCCCATACATTTTTTTTTATTTCTTACATACATGACAATAGTGGAGTGCATTACATTCATAATCATCCATTCACAGCACAATTTTTTGTAACTCTGTATATATATAAAGTATGTTCACACCAAATTATGCCATTATACATGAGCTCTCTTATTTTTTTCCATACAATTCTTAATACACCTTTGTACCACCATTTATCATCTCTCTCTTTGTATATAAGGTATGTTGACACCAAATTCACATCTTCATACATGTATATAATGATGACCATCTCCTTCCACCATCCTAGCTATTCCCCTTCTCCCTCCTTTTTCCTCCCACCCCTATTCCCTATCTAGAGGTAATTTTCCTCCCATGCCTTCCCTCCCTACCCCACTTTGAGTCACCTCCCCATACATTTTTAAAGTCTCAGAGGAGTTATTATGTAAAGAATATGGTGTTACATACTCAACACAGAACAAATAAAGGAAGGAGTTAAGGTGGTGGTGGGAATGGGAGGGCTTCTGGTGAGAGCAGTCAAGTGTAAATTCCCTGAGTGAAGGAACTTTGTGTTTCAGGACATTGCAAATTACTTGTTGAGAGGTCATTTTTAAGTTAGCCCCATGTTGGGCTAAATGAAGTTGTGTTAATCATGAGCAGGTACCAGACTCTTGGATGGTGAGCCCCATAGTTGAGATAGTAGCCCTAGAATGAAAAGCTATCTTTAACACTTAGAGATTGTAAAGCAGAAGGAATTTTTGCCTAGGGTAGTAATGAAAGAAGTGTGGCACTCCTGTTCCAGTGCATTTGAAACTCTCTGAAGATTGTTTTCAGAGAGTTTCTGATACATAAGGGGGGGATACTCTTGTTACTGGGTGCCACTATTGCTGGCAGGGTAAGAGGCTTCCCTAAATAGCTCTGCATCATTCTTTTGAGGTGATATGGCCAGAAACCACTGGGCTGGCACTCTTTACCCTGAGCTGGGAGATCCAGAGTCTATATTCCATTAATTGGGATATCTTATTTGGTAGAACGCCAAGGAAGAGCTAGGTTTTATTGGTAGCAAAATAAATGAAAACAGAGATATATTGTTGACAGAGGGCTTCCTGCAGGGAGGAGAACTGTTGGTCCTTGACGTGAAGTCTACAAGCTTTGAGTTGAAACCTGGTGAAATCCCTACCCCCATATTAAATTATATATTCTCTGCTGGGGAAATTTTCGTGTTATTTGCTTATTGACTTTTTGGTAGTTTGGGTTTTCTTTGTACCAGAGCACTGCATATTCTCTGATTTCTAGTTAAAGACTTCCCAGAGACAAAAGTGGTATCTTCTAGCATAAATGTAGTCATAATGATTATTCCTTGATTAGAGATGTGATATTTGCCAGCTACTTTGTCAGGTGCTTTGTATACATTATATATGTTCCAACAATCCTATATAATGGGGCTTACTGGACTTACTTGACAGATGAAGAACTTAAAATATTTTCAAGTTTACATGGCTAGTAAGTGACAGACCTGGGACTAGACCTCAGGTCTGAATTCCTACAGAATTCACTGTTTTACTCTTCCCAACCTGAGGCAAATCTGTCTCTTAATTCTTCTCACTCCTCCACAATATTTCTGAACTGATGAGTTCAGAAATATTTGGTACTTTTTTGGTACTTTTTGGTACTTTGTGGCCAAAGTACCAAAAAGCAGGCCTAAAGAACAAAGGTAAAAATGAGAACTAAACTATCTGTGGGGTTTATTTGTCTGGGTTCCTTTCTTCCCTTTGCCCCAAGGTTCCTCAAGAGCTGATTCTGGCTGGGTCCAATTTCAACACTTTCCTGAATTACAGCACCCTTCTCCTGAGTTTTCTTCAGTATCTAAACTAGCACTGACCTTCTGACCACCTTTTCAATGTGTCCTCCTGTGGAGCCTGCGCAGAGAAACAGAAATCCCAGACTCCCTGCCTTCTTTCTGCCATAGAGGGTTCCAATTCCCTGGAGATCTTGTCCCTCACCATGAACCCTCTCTGACAGCAACAGCCCCTTCCATGTAACTTTTCATTTCAGATGGGAAAGTTTACAGTCCTCTTCATTCCTCTGGGTACCTCCACCATACCTTTAAAGTGCTTTCAAATCTGAAGCTGAGTAAAGTTTGATTTGGCACAGAATCTACTGGCTCTTGGCTTCTAACCTTAAGGCTAGAGAGGTGTTTTTTTTTTTTTTTTCTTTTTGAAACCACCTTGATATTTGCAGGAGGATTTTAATGGAGTGTTTTATTTGAGACTGGCCACTGAACACATATACTAGTAAGTGAATATATTTAAGTGGTCAATAACCAAAGTCTCCCTTTTAAGAGATACATGAGGAAAGACTAAGGAAATCATTGTGTAATAAAACATCTACTGAAGTGGAATCCCTAAATATCCTTCTTGAAGTTCTCAGAAGTGTAAAATGTTTTCTTGGAAGACATGCTAGCTTTGAATAAAAAGAAAATAAATAATAATAATAATATGCCATCTTTCCATTTCATTTACTCTTATCTGTATCTCCCTCCAGGAAAAAAATGCTAGTTTTTCAGCATGCTTAATTGAACTGTTCAGTTGTTTATACATGTTAAATCATGTGGTAGGAAGCTATGATTTTGACACTGCACCAAAAGATAGGAGAAAATTCTCCATCTACTTAAGTCATGCACATTATTGTAAAGGATCAAGCAGAAAGATACTATTGAGTGACAAACTCTCCCTGTAAAGATTTACAAGGTCATTTTGAAAGTTAGATAAGACTCTATATTTGAAAAATATCTCTTACATAATAGGAAGTAGAAAATTTGGCAAATTTCATGACACTTAGGCTTCTTAGAAACTCCTCCAAGAAATAAAGAGGGTTGCAGTTATAACCAATTGTGATAGTTGCTCTTTATTAAGCTCATATTACAAAACATTTTATAAGAGAGACTGCAAGTGTTCATCTATATGATATCTTGATCTCCTTCCTGGGCTCAAGGGGAGATCACATTCCCAGTCCACTTGTAGTTTGGAGAGTCATGTAAATAGCCCTTGCCACAGAAGCATGAGTACAAGTGTTTGTCACCTCTGGACTGAGAAACATAAGAGCAAATCTATTACCTCCATTTATTTTTTAAAAATGTGGGCTGGGGTTGTGGCTCAGCAGGAGAGCGCTCGCCTAGCACGTGCAAGGCCCTGGGTTGTATCCTCAGCATCACATAAAAACAAATAAACAAAATAAAGGTATTGTGTACAACTACAAAATAAATATTTGTAAAAATGTACATATTGTTCTGCCACTTGCTCTTGTCACTTAATGAAGGGGATGCAGGATATTTCTGTGACAGCACACACAAATCCACCTTGATTTTTTGGTAACTTTATAGAATTCTAAGATCTGCATATATTATAAGTTAACCAATCTCCTGATGAACACAAAAGTTCTTTGCTAATTGTTGTTACAACTAGCATTAATTAATTACTTTGAGCATGATTTTGCAGGTAAAAGTATGTGGCTCCTTATAGGGAAGACATACCAGAAAAGAAATTAGGTTAAAGTAGAGAAGTTATAATGATTATAATTTTATGGATATTGCTAAAATTTTATCACTAAATGCTATACCAACTCATGTTACAACAAACTAAATTATGTAGATTCCATATACTTTCTTAGACATTATTTTATAAATTTAAAAAATTTTTGGTTGAACTTTGGGTTGAAAAATATTAAGTCACCATTATATTAATTCATATTTCCTTGTTTATAATTAGATGAATTAGAAAATTAACTTAATCATTCATCCATATAAAGTTAGATTTCTAAAGTGATGTTTTGAGTATCATAATTCCTCTGGGCATGCCTTGATATTCCAAAATGTAAGTAAAATATTTCCTTTTACTTTGAGAGGATAGGATATTGTCAGAATGGCCAAGTGCCAGGAAATGGTCCCAGACAGGACAGCTTCAGTTAGAGAAGGAACATCAGGAAGATTTGTGTGGAGAGCAATTTTCAGAGTCCATGAGAGAGATCATGTACTAAACAAGTGATACATAGCTCAGGGCAGCTGGCAGTCGGTGGTCCAAATCAGCATAAAGGTAGACAAGGAAGCAGAAGGAGAGAGGGAAGAAAATCTGGTAGAGGAAGGAAATATGAATAGGTATGAAAAAGCTCTGAATTGATGAAAGGAACACAGGCATGCCAGACATACATCCCTATCTAGTGTAAGGCAGGATAATTTTAAGTTAGGTGAGCAGTTGTAGCACTTCAAGATTCTCCCATGGAGGCAGAAAGCCCTACCAGGGAGCAGGCCAAACATTTCATCACATTGACCTACCCATTTATCCAGTCATCAAACATTTATTGAATACATTCTGATGGAAATCCTAACAAAAGAAAAGGAAATGACAAGGT